GCTCAGACCCTGCAGCCTGCTTCAGATTCTGTGTCTCCCTCTCTGCCCTCCCAGTCTCAAGCTCTGTCTCTCTCTCTCTCTCTCTCTCAAAAATAAACATTATAAAAAGTTTTAAAAAATAAATAAAATAATAAAATAATTTTAAAAAAGGAACTTTCCATGTGTAAATCAAAAGATCACACCTCCTGCTAATAAACTACATTTCTTTGCCACATCCATTCACCAACCTGATGCCCAGCGGAGATTCTGCCTGTCCTCGCAAGTTACCCCCCTGCAGCAGGTGTGCCACTGTGTAAAATGCCATGTAAATAGTGGAATCAGACAGCGATTCAATCAGCCACTGCTCATCCCATGGCAGACGAGTACCTGCAAGATAAAAAGAAGGAAATTAATTCCTGAGGAACTTAAAAGAGATACTTCATCTGGAGAATCTGTATCTTCAAGGTCTATAGCATTTACAAAGCTACTTATTTAAGAAGGTCTTAAATTTGCTTAAATAATTAACAAAATGAACTAGTAAATATAAAGCAAAATAGGGGCACTGGGGTGGCTCAGTCAGTTGAGTGTCCAGCTCTTGATCTCGGCTTGGGTTGTGATCTCACAGGTCGTGAGATAGAACCTCGCATCCAGCTCCATGCTGACCATGCAGAGCCTGCTTGGGATTCTCTCCCTCCCTCCCTCTCTCTGCCCCCCTCCTCCCTGCTTGAAAATAAATAAACATTTTTTAAAAAGGCAAAATGGTTGAAGCACTACAAAGAGTTTCTATTAAAAAAAATCCATAAAGCTATGTGGGTTTGAGAGGTCATACTCTACCAGCAGGTAGATAGACGGTAGGGCACCACATCCCAGTTTCCCTCACCCTCAAACCAAAACCTCTCAATTCAGAAAAATACTAGGAGAGACAGAGAAAAAGTAAAAGGGTTAATTTGCCAGGTAACTGGCCAAGTCATTCAAACAGAAGAATTTGAAGCATGCTTACCTAAACCATAAGTTCTCGAGCAGGCATGCTCTTGTAGCCAACCTAGGGTAGCTTCAAAATTCCTCCTGGTCTCCTCACAGAATCTGGAGAGAGTAAAAGGTACAGTGTCTCTCTTCATCCTCACTGTCTTCCATGTTTCTGATCTCCTTTCCCTTCCCTCATCACTTTTTTCCCTTCTTACGTTTCCAGGTTCTTCAAGCACTGGGATGTCTGTTGTTTCCAGTTCTCTTCTCCATAATCCAAGTACCTGGTAGTAGACAGATTGATTAAAAAAAACATAAAATTCAAAAGAATAAGTAAAATGACTGAAGGAAATGTCTTGCTGTACGAGAAACTAACCACTGGTCACACAAGGCCACGACACATTCATCTGAAGACCTGGACATAACTTGTTTTTCTGGTTCCATGTAAATAAAGGCATCTCCCTACATGAAAGCAAATAAAAATATATCAGATATTATGTCAAGTCAATCTCTATTCCTCAGGGACAATAAAAAAACAACTTTAAAAAAAAATGTTACACCACCAATAACAAAAACCCCACATCTTCAGTATGTCTTCCCGGTATAAGTTATCTGCCATTCTCTTTTTTTTTTTTAATTTTTTTTTTAATCTTTATTTATTTTTGAGAGAGAGACAGAGTGCAAGCAGGGGAGGAACAGAGGGAGAGGGAGACACAGAATCCAAAGCAGGCTCCAGGCTCCAAGCTGTCAGCACAGAGACCGACGTGAGGCTCGAACCCACAAACCGTGAGATCATGACCCGAGAGATCATGACCTGAGCTGAAGTCAGCCACTTAACCAACTGAGCCACCCAGGTGGCCCTGCCATTCTTTCTATACATCATTTGCTTTTGAAAAGGTGTGTATCTCTGTCAAATGGATCATCTTTCCTAGCTATCGATTATTCCTTTTCAGTGGAACATGAATGATGTTCAATACTTTCTAATTCTATGGTTTGAAGGTTAGATTGCCTATGGAAGCCCTTTACCCTTATTATTTTTGTTTTAAGTTTATTTACTTATTTTGAGAGAGAGAGAGAGAGAGAGAGCAAGGAGGGGATGGGCAGAGAGAAAGGGAGAGAGAGAATACCAAGCAGGCTCTGAACTATAAGCATGGAGCCCGACTCGGGACTTGAACTCTTAAACCAAGAGATCATGACCTGCGCTGAAATCAAGAGTCTAATGCTTAACTGACTGAGCCACCCAGGCGTCCCTATCCTTGTCATAGTAAGAATATAAAGAGGGGGAGATGTGAGCGTTGTCAGCGCAGACCCTGCTTGGGATTCTCTCTCTCTCCTCTCTCTGCCTCTCTCCCCACTCATGCTCGATCTCTCACTCTAAAAAATAAAAAAAAAGAATATAAAGAAAATATGAAGTTAAACGCATAGAACCACTGCTTTTAAAAAAATAGATGCACAAAAACTAAACATGAAAAACATTGTTGCTAAAGATTTATAGTGTCATGAAAAACGTCCACTAGAAAACTAACCATGAATGTAACTGTTTACCAAATATAAATACCTCTTAATGTATTATGGTCCCACACTTGTCAGGCTATTTTTTAAGATAAAATTCAACATAATTATTCATAAAATGATTCATTGTTCTTTGTTTTTAATGCAATTCTGCATACTGAACTTAAATAGCTAGGACTTTGGTATAAAGAAGGGAAATTAAAAACAGACATTGAACTCTGCTGAAAAGAGGACTAACTGAAGTTTCTAAAGAAGAGGTCAGAACCCCAGACACCCTAATCCCATACTATGCAGACAGGCAAATGCCCCTCCCTATGCCAGCAGAACAATGAAGGTTTATGCTCTGGAGAGGATACAAGAGTCACTCAACCAAAGACAGAGTTAAGGATATGGGTATCACAGTGGGAAGAGACAGATTCAGTGGAGAGTCAGCACAATGAGTTTTGGTATTCCCCCTAGCAATTTTTTCAGCTCCCCATTAGCTTAGACTTCTCAAGCTAGAAAGTGGAAGAATCTTCTAGGAGGAAGCTAATAAATCCAAGAAGCTCTAACTAATTGACATCAGGGCTAATATAAAGGCTTCCCCAAGACCCAAAAAGCCCTTCTACATCTCCCCCAATGAAGCCCTACTCACATCCAAAAAGGTTTCAATCATCTTTCTGTACCTACTCTTAAATATCAACAATCTTCCTCACAGAAATAAAAGATTAAGATTTCACATTCATGAAACAATAGCATCCTATAAAAAAGGCCCTGCGTTGATGGAAAAAAGACAGTCTCTTTAACAAATGATGCTGGGAGAACTGGACAGCAACATGCAGAAGATTGAAACTAGACCACTTTCTCACACCATTCACAAAAATAAACTCAAAATGGATAAAGGACCTGAATGTGAGACAGGAAACCATCAAAACCCT